TTAAATGCCATCTCAACTATTTCTTTTTTTTTTTTAGTGGATGAAACTGAAGCACAGAGAGGTTTCATGACTTACCTCCTGTTGTACATGCAGTGAGGAAAAGAGTATGGAATTCAAATCCAGGTTCTCTGACCCCAAATCCAGTATTCTTTCCACTTTACCATGCCCCCTCTCCCACAGCGGAGTCCTTCATAAAGTTTAAAATGCTATTTTTAAACCTAATGATAATAATAATGATAAGGATGAGACCTCTGATTTTATTGCTGTAGAGAAGTCCCTCTAGCAAGGCAGCTTGGGACTTTCAGTGACTTACCCAAGGTCACAGGTAATAATCCCCCAAGTCAGGATTCAAACCCAGGCCCTCAGATTCCACATCCATTTCCATTTCCACTGTCACATGCGGAAGCGTCAGCAGAAGACTGTAAGCAGTGATAACGATTTTAGTTGTGGACCCACAATTATATCAATGTAAGGAGTGAGCTCCCTGGAACGGAAGCTCCCCCAAGTGACTGCTTGGCAATTCATGATCTTACATCAGTGCTTGAGGTCGTTGAGAGATTAAGTAATTTGCCCAGGGTCACACTGCCAATATCAGAGATAAGACTGGAGCCTGGGTCTTAATGCCAAGGCTACTTCCCTATCCACTACCCCATGGCTATCTCTCACACTGACGTCTTATGATGCAGATCCACAACTGGATTGGTATTGGAACTTCTGGTGATGAACCTCCCATCCCTGGTGCAGGACAGCAATTCTTCTAGGCTTAGTGGGTCGCCAAGGGGCACTGAGAAGTGACTTGCCCAGGGTCAGATGGCTAGAATGCGTCTGAGCCAGACATTGGATTAAACACTGGGGATACAAAGAAAGGCAAGAGACAGTCCGTGCTCGTAAGAAGCTCATACTGTCAAGAAGAACCTGGCTTACTATCCTTTGTCCATCCAGTCTTTTCCATGAGTGCCACTGTTAATATCCATCAACTAAAAAAGTGGTGACCACTGTTTTATTTTCCAAAGGCTAGTTAGCCACCATGCTTTTAAAAAATTCCCCTTAACCATGTTGTTTTGTCATGATGGCTTGAAGGCAACCCCATTTGGGGGGAAAATATACACACACACACACACACACACACACACACACGTATATGTTCACATTACATGTAAAAACAGTTTTTAACATTCATTTAAAAAATTTTTGAGTTCCAAATTCTGTCTCTCCTTCCCTTCCTTCCTGCTTTGAGAAGGTAAGCAATTTGATACAGATTATACATGTGCAGTCATGCAAAACATGTTTCCATGTTGGCCACGTTGTGAAAGAAAACACAGACACAAAAACCCCCAAGAAAAATAAAGTTTAAAAAAAAAAGCATGCTTTGATCTACGTTCAGACTCCCATCAGTTCTTTCTCTGGAGGTGGATAGGATTTTTCATCATAAGTCCTTCAGAATTGTCTTGGATCTTTGTATTGCTGAGAAGAGCTAAATCCTTCCCAATTGGTTATCCTACAGTGGTGCCTTGTATAACGTTCTGGTTCTCCTCACTTCACTTTGCATCAGTTTGTGTAAGTCTTTCCAGGTTTTTATGAAACCATCCTGCTTGTCCTTTCTTATAGCATGATAGCATTCCATCACAATCATATGCCACAGTTTGTTCATCCATTCCTCAATTAATGGGCATCCCCTCAATTTCCAATTCTTTGCCATCACAAGAGTTGTTATAAATATTTTTGTGCAATACGTCCTTCTCCCCCTCCCCTTTTTTAAACTGTCACACAGATTCTTAATGGATAGATCCATGGATTGTATGCTCTGGTATGTGTTACCAAGCTAGAAATGTTTAAGTATACAGGCCTGTGCATGAATTGGGTGTCTGTCATCTGAGGTCCAGCCTGAGTCAATTTAGAAAGGCATTTCATGAGGGATGCTGCAGGATGATGAATTTTTTAGCTCCCTGGATGCAGGAATACCATTTCCTAAGTCATAGAAGGGCTGCAATCAGTATTGGTGGAGAGAGTATTCACAGTGGCAAAATCACAACTACAGATCCTGGTGTAAGTGCAGAATGGTGGATGAGAGAGAGCTTGATGGGAAGGAGCTTGTTGAAGTAGGGCGGAGAACTGTATTCTGAAGTGATGAGTTCAAGTCGCTGCTTTGGGGAAGACTTGGATGGATGATGTGGGACTTGGACAGGACAAACAGAAGGTGATAGAAGAAGACAGAAGAAGGTGATAGATAAAAGACAGATAGTTGGCCAAGACAGTGAGATTGGCCAGAGAGCCCTAGTGAAAACCTTTAAAGTTCAAGGTGTGACCACTAACTAGATCCCAGTGTGATGAAAAATGTGCAAGAAGTTGGCATAAGGTTATCACCATAAGATCAATCAGTCAACAACCATTAATTAATAACAACAACAATAGCAAGCATTTGTATAATGCCTTAAGGTTTGCTAAGTGCTTTACATACGTTTTCTCATTTGATCCTCATAATCATCCTGGGAGGTAAGTGTTAGTCCTGTCCTCACTTTACAGAAAGGGAAACTGAGTCAGAGAGAAGTTAAGTGACTTGCCCAAAGTCATACAACTAATAAGTGTCTGAGGCTGGATTTGAACTCAGGTCTTCCTGACTCCAGATTCAGTGCTCTATTTACTTTGACATCTAGCTGCTTAACTAATTAAGGGCTTACTATGTGCCAGGCACTGTGATAAGAACTAGGGATGGAAAGAAAGGCAAAACCATACTTCTTGCCTTCAAGGAGTTCACATTCTGATACATAATGCCATTTACCCTGGACATTTCTCAAAGAGATCATCTAATCCAGATGTTTGTGATTCCTGTTCCTAGTTTTTTTAAGGGAGATGTGGGAGATATTTGGTAAATAACAGTGTTATCCTATTAAGATGAATTAATCTTTTTATTTTATTTCTTTTGCTTACATTCATGATAAAGTCTAGATTTTACTTCTTTTCCTATTGACGAGGGGGTATGAGAAGGTTTATTGAAAGTCAGGAGGTGTAGGGAATGAAAAAGGGATGGGAAACCCTAATCTCATCCATCCATTCATTTTATAGATGAGGAATTTGACTCCCAAAGAGGAAAAATGACTTTTGAAGCCCTTCACATTTGATCCCAATCAATATTTCTAGGCTCATTATCCATTTCCCCATCTCCTCTCACACCTCGGTCTAGCCAAACAGGCTTCTCCATGTCCCGTGTCCAAGTCTGCTGGGGACACTGTCCCCTAAGGCTGGCATGCACTTCCTCTTCACCTCTGCCTAATAGAACTCCTGTCTTCCTTCAGGACACAGCTAGAGCGCCACCTTCTTCATGATGCCTTTCCTGATGCCCCCAAATGCTAGTGCCATCCCTCCCAAGCTACCTGGCATTTCCTTCTATTTATTTTGTGTATACTTGTATATATGAACATGCAGTCTTCTTCCCCAGGAGAATGTAAGCTCGCTGAGTAGGAATTACTTGTTTATTTTCTTGTCATGTTATCCCTAGTGCCTAGAATGTGCTAGATCCTTAATAAATGCTTGTTGATTGAGCGATTGACTAAACCACATGAGGTCCCTCATGTAACTTACAAACTGTCCTTAAGGATGAAACTATGCTAAAAAGCCAACATGGTGGACTTGCCGAGAGCTGTCAGTGACCCTTTCTGCATCCGTGGGCTTTCAGCATTCTGTATTTCTGCTCCCTGAAACTTTCCTTACATGCTTGTTCTCATAGATCATTAAAGAGTTTCTGAGCAAAAGTCAAAAACTTGCCTGAGAGCTACTCTCCCATGGTCATGAAGGCTCTGCTTCTAGACATAAGTACAAAAAAATCTCTTTTCATAATTGGACACTCAAAGAATGAAATGTTACCAAGACCTGAGGATTCCCTTGTGTTCTCCAGGCATTTTCAAAGTGTTGAGACTTTTTCTGGTCGATAATAGGCTTCAGATTCTGGGAGCTCTGTGTAATGTTCAAGATGACACTTTAAAATATTTGGCAAGACCCCGCATTTCCCTAGACAATATGTTGAGAGCATATTTATATCCATTTTACAGTTTACAAAATACTCTCATCACAACAAACCTGTAAGGTAGATAATAGCTGAATGATAATGGCTAATGTTTAAAGAGTGCTTTGAAGGTCTGCAAAACTCTCTCCTTACTGTCTCATTTACACCTTATAACCATCCCAGGGAGGCAGGGAGGAGAGGGTGTGGGTTGTGAGGCTTGACATCATTGACTTGAAGCCACAGAGGTGAGGATTTTAATCCAGTCCTTGCTAGATGAGGAACCCTAGGGAAGTCATGCAATCAGAGATTTGGAGATGATAGGGACCTTTGAGATTATCTAATTCAGCCTCCCTCATTTGGCAGATGAGGAAACTGAGGCCCAGAGATGAAGTCACCCAGGCATTAATAATCATCAATAAAAGATCAAATTAAATAATGCGTGTAAAACAATTTGTTAACCTTAAAGCCCTAATATTATGTAATATTTTGAAATAATGTTAAATAAAATTATAATTAAATAAACTTTAAATAATAAATAAAATACATAGTAAATAAGTAGTAAGTTTAAAAATTAATATTGTGTAATTCACTTCCATCATCGTAGCTCTCCAGGAAGCAGACTCCCTCGTCTCCTCTGTGAGTAGAAGCTACAGTCTCTTGTCGCTTTTATATAACATTCCAGGTCCATAAAATACTTTTTCACATATTGTCTCTTTTGATCCTCTCAACAGCCCTGTGAGGTATCTCATTTAAGAGGAAACTGAATGGTACAGTGGGTAGTGAATAGGCAAGGCTGTGCTGGAGCCAGCTTATGCTGGCTGGAGAGAGCCTATTGTTAAATTTTCAATGTGAGCATTTACCCCTCAAAATTTGACGAACACTACAAATGAGGGCTTGATTTCTTGTTTTACTGATTGCCTAGACTTGAGAAGGTGATGGAGAAAATGTTAATAATGTCAATTAAAGTTAAAAGTGTGTCCTATGTATGTTTTTCCCTCAGAGAGAGAGAGCTGATTGTTAAACATTTACCAGCATACCTCTGAGAGTGGGCTTTGGAGCCATGATAGACCTGAGTTCAAATCCTGCTTGTGACCCATACCAGCTGTGTGACAATGGGTAAGTCACTTGAAATCTCAGTGTTCCTAGGCTGCTTCCGAAGTTGATAAACTTCTGACAAAGTACTCCAAGGGCAGCTGGGAGAGCAGGGAGGCGGGAGGAAAGAGCCCTGCATTTGGAGTCAGAGGACCTGCGTTCAGGGCTAGCCTTTGACCCTCAATTCCTCATCTGTCCAATGGACTGGCATAAATGGTTTCTGCCTCAGGGTCTTTTCCTTTTCTAAGAGACCCGTTCCTGTGATCTAGGGCCAAATCCTGCTTCCAGCACAGACTATGTTTGTGGCTCTAGGCCAGTCAATTAACTGTGTGGGCCTCAGTTTTCTCCTTTGTAAAAAGTGGCCATTGAGCTCCCTTCAGAGCTAGAGCTATGATCCTGTAACTTTCCTCACCATGGACCCCAGGAAGAAGAAAGGGTGGCAAATGGGAATGTCCCCATCTGACAGATGGGTAAACTAAGGCCAGGCCTGAGTAAGTGATTGTCCACAGCTGCTCCAGCAGGTGGGTGGCAGGGCTGAGACCAGACGCCAGGTCTCCAGTCTCTTGCTCCTTTCAACTACACCATGGATTAACCTGCTGCTCTTCAGGACCTGAAAAGTCCTGAAGAATAATTTGATGGGCAGGTTTTTGCTCATGTTTTGATTAGCATCATTTACATTGTGGTGGGCTTCTTGTTTCCTCCCCCCAGGACACTGATGAATTCTGTGGTCACAGCCAACACAAACACACACATTTATTCTCTCTCGTCTCTGTCTGTCTGTCTGTCTGTCTCTCTCTCTCTCTCTGTCTCTCTCTCTCTCTCCCTCTCTCTCTCTCTCTCTCTCCCTCTGTCTCTCTCTCTGTCTCTGTCTCTCTCTCTCTCTCTCTCTCTCTCTCTCTCTCTCTCTCTCTCTCCCTCTCTCTCTCTCTCTCTCTCTCTCTCTCTCTCTCTCTCTCTCTGTCTGTCTCTGTCTCTGTTTCTGTCTCTGTCTCTCTCTGTCTCTCTCTGTCTCTGTCTCTGTCTCTGTCTCTCCCTCGCTCTCTGTCTGTCTATCTTGTAAACACTCCAGTGGAGATGTGCGTACTGGTTTCACTCAGGCGGTCCCTAATCAACTGCACATAGACTTAGAGTCTTGATTGCAAACGACTTCACTAGCATGAGCTCCCAGTGACCCATTCGGTTCCCCACAGGCTCATAGAATATGCAGTTTTTAATAGTCAGTGGCTTGTCAATGGTGGACATAGAAATGGTCATTAGTGGCTTCTTATTGCCTAGAAGGAGATGGGAAAAAGAGGGAGGGAGAGGAGAGATGGAGAAGGAAAGAAGGCAGAGGAAGGGAAGGGAGGAGGGAGAAGAAAGAAATAGACACTGCAGCATGGGTCATGTATCCACACCTGAGTGGATCCCCAGGCTTCTACCAGAATCCTCTTGGGTGCCTGTCTAGAATAATAGCTTTGGGCTCCACAGTGTCAGCCCAAACCCACTTTACAGTGGCAGAGTGTGCTCTAAGTTAGTGCTGTCAAACAAACAGAAACCTGCGAGCTGAATTTTGACTTAGAAGACTACACATTAATATTATCTGTGACCTACTATATTTTTATTTTTTTGTTGAACAGTTAATGTTTAACACTTGTTAAACATTGAAATTACTTGTTAATTTGGCTTGGGCTGTATTAGAGAGTTTTGCTGATGGAGTTTGCCACTTCTGCTCTAAATCTATTACATGTAAATTGAAAATGACCTGAATTCAAATGTTGCCCCAGATGCTTATTAGCTGTGTGAACCTAGGTGAGTCACAACCTCTCAGCCTCAGTTTCTCCATCTTCAATGGAGATAATAATTGTTGTTCAGTCATGCTTGCCTCTTTGTGACCCCATGAACCATAGCATATCAATAATGTCCACGGGGTTTTCTTAGCAAAGATACTGGAGTGGTTTGCCATTTCTTTCTACAGTGGATCGAGGCAAACACAGTTAGGTGACTTGCCCAGGGTCAAGGGTCTGAGGCCATATTTGAACTCAGGTCTTCCTGACTCCAGGCCTACTGAGTCACGTGGCTGTTTCCACAGAGCCACATAACTGCTTCCAGAGCTAATAATAGCATCTCCAAAATGGGGATAATAATAGTCGCTGCTTCAGAAGTTTGTTGTGAGGATCAAATGAAATAGGACGTGCAAAGTGCTCTGCAGCTTTGAAAGCTCTGTATAAATATTAGCTATTATTATTCGTAAGCCTTAAAGCTCTATGTGAATATTTGCTATCATTACTATAGCAACACTTCTTATGATAGAAAAAACAACAACGACCTGGAAGCAAAGTGTCTGCTTATCATCTGGGAGATAGTAACAGAAGAATGTCGTGTAATATTATCACATTATGAGAAATTACGAATATGAGGAATTCAGAGAATCCTGGGCAGAGAAAGCATGAACCATTAGAACTAGATGCACCCGGGTACAGTGATGTAAACAAGAAAGACACTGAAAGACACATTGAATTCAGGTTAAATTCACTGTCCTCTGGTCTCGGCGCCAGAAGACAGATGATGGAGCACACACCTCTAAGGGCTCCCCAGGGCCAGTGTTCAGTCTTCAGTGTGAGAATTTAAGCCTCAGAAATTGGCAAACTACAAAATCAGGACTTGGTTTCTTGTCTTGTTGCTTGTCTAGGTTTAAGAAAGTGATGCAGAGAATGTCAATATGCCGATTAAACGTAAAAGTGTGGTGTGTACATTCCTCCCCCCCTCCCCCCAGAGCCTGGCTTTTAACATTTACTAACACCCCCTCTATATTCCTCTATGCTTGAGCTGCTTGAGCTCATCAGGAGGGTGGGAGAAGGCTCGGGGAATGAAGTCATCTCTAGACTAAAGAGGTCTGGTGACTGTAAGATAGTAATGATAATAATAATAATAATAATAATAATAATAATAATAATAATAATAATAATAATAGCTGGCATTTGTATAGCACTTTGCAAAGTGCTTTGCATCCATTAGCTCATTTGAGCCTCCCCACACCCCTGTGTACCTCCCTCCTTTCGGGGGGACTACAGGTGTAGAAAGTTGCATCAGGTTTCAGATGGAATTGTTTGGCTAGGCAGTTTCCTTGTTTACAAGGGAGTTCTATGAGGTTAGATTATTAGGAAATGTTTGTGATGTAAAAAAAAAATGCAATGAACTCAGAAGTTGATCTTGCTAAGAAAGTCTTCAGAGGTGGGCTAGTCTAGTCCCCTCATTTTATGGATGAGTAAACTGAGTAGACTCAATGATCTATATTTAATACTAAGGACAGATGGACTCTAGTGAATGAATGAGTGAAACATAATGAATGAATAGGTAGCTCTCCATCCAGGACTCCTTTTTCCCAACCCCACTGGACTAGGAAGTTGGTTCCCAGAGGGTGGCTATTTACTAAGTACTTCTCCCATCAGGGTTCTAGGGATACGCCGGAGGGTCTGGGGGTGTTCTCTGATATGTCACTGACTCTCTGCCCTCCTTGCTTCACTCAAGCCAAAGGCTTAAGAGTCCTGAGAATGCCCAGAGAGAGGCTCAATCGATGACGTAAGCTGTATTTGGTAATGACTCCTTTTCAAAATTTTCCATGGACTAAAACTGAGCTTTCTGGCAGCCCACCTTCCATATTAGACCTTTATTAAATGTTGCAGTGTAGAGGCATTCTCTCATCTCCGTGTCAATCACTGGCCAGCTTTTATTGCCTGAAATGTAGAGCATTGTATTATGGGGAGTTTCTAATTTAGCTGGGGATTCAGTGTGTGCTCGCGTGTGCATGTGTGTACACACACACACACACACACACACACACACACACACACACACACACACAAAACAAGTAAAGAACGATCCATCGGCTTGGACCTAGTCAAAGGAATATGTATATCCCCTCTGCCTTTGCCTGCCCCATAACCTGTCCAGAACTTTAGGTCATTCCCTGCTCCCCTCAAACAAAGTGACAGAGTTAAAATCTCCTCATCTCCTTTTTATCCCAGCTAGATACTGTTATTTTTAACTTCTAAAAATAAAACAACTCCCAACTTTTCTGTTATTTGGAAGGATGGAGACAGCATGGTCCAGTTTAAAAGGGAAAAAAAAAGGATCCTGAGCCTGAGAACTGGGGTTTGAATCCTGGCATTTTCATATGACCTTGGTCATCACTTGACCTTTCCTGTCCTTGACCTCCTCATCTGTAAAATGGGAGAGTCAGGGATTTGACTGGATGGCCTCTGGGCCCCTTTCAGCTCTGGAGTCAGAGGACCTGAGTTTGAAATCTGAGCTCTGCCACTGACTAAATGTATGACTTTGGGCAAATCACAGTTTCTCTAGGCCTCAATTTCTGCATCTGTTAGGTAGTTTCTAAGATCCTTTCCAGCTATAAATATATGCATTGAAAGACCCCAAGGCATTAATATATTATCCCAGATCACTTAATAAAGTCATACACTGCTCCCCAGGGAACTTTACCTTAGGGCAAAGTCATAATCTGCCCAGGCCTCTCTAGGAGCACAGAAAACTGCCACATACTGCCTTTCTAACTCAAGAGGAATCTGCTCAAATGTCCTGGGCCTCCTCTGTCTAGTTCCTGTACACCTCCTACCCTGTGGGTCTGGGCGAAAGAGACCCCTCCCAGCCTCTCCCAGGAGCTGGGTGGGCCCTGCTGTCATCACGCATCTCCCCGCCTACATTGGCATGCCAGCCTCTTCGGGGAAGCATGATTCACTTGGGAATGACTAGGGCCAGGGGGCTTTCATTGGAGCCATCCCCCAGCAGAGCCATGAGGTCAAATTGTCAAAGTAAACTTAGCTTCTCCTTTGGGATAAATATTCTGATTTCAGCCCCATGAAATTATACCCCAAATCTCATCGATTTCTTTTGTTCCCTTTCTTTCTCTGTTCCATTCTCTCACACTATTTTCTCACTTTCTCACTGTCACTCTTTTGCACTTTCCCATCTCTCACTTTTCCTTTCACTCACATTTGTTCTCTCATTTTTTCTTATTGTCTTCGCGTTCT